AGAACTGTGCCATGTTATTCGAAGCAACAATGAGCCCAAAGTAAACAGATTTTGGTAGTGGGGTCTGCGTCAAAGAGAGAAGACAGGACATCGTGGCACTGCTTTTCATTTGTCTCTGAAGGGTATTGCTAGGCACAGAATGAACAAATCAGATACAATGCTTCTCGACCTACTGCTCTTGATTATATGTAGCAAATCTCTGCTCCGATGATTCAGATTGATTGACTATCAGCGTTCGTCTCTACAAAATTGTGGCGTACCATTACGAGATCGACTCCCAACTTTACGCCACGGCGCCTGTCCACTCGAACTTCCTCGGAAACTTGCTTGATTTGTAGTAATTCATCGTAAACGTCGTTGGCGTGAGTTATCCGTACGTTAAAGGGTAGAATGTTCAGTTCTTAAAAAGACGTTAGCATTAATTGCGAAGATTCCTTCCAAATGGTGGTGCTCGTCATGATTCCACAATGGCTAAGCATGTCAGCAGTTTTCCATAGAGGTTTCGGGTATGTGGACATGCTAAGACCAATAACGGAAAAAAGTTCCCTTCAAAGAGGAGCTGGTGTCATGCTGCACCGTTCACTACGGCCGGTCGTCGAGCGGACAACTGAACAAGCCCCGGAAGGAAGCACTTTCAATGGAATTCGTGCGCGCTCTTGGAGTCCCCATCCTTCCGCTACTTCTGAGTGCTAGTGACATTCCATATCGTTGCACATGGTGACCTTGATTCCTTGTTTGCCGCGTATATGAAGGACGGACATCTGCCAGTCAGCGATCATCGATTGGGAGTATGTGGGCTGGCTCCCAGAGTCAGCGATCACACCACGGTTACAATGTGAGGGTTCATGGTTCCATGGTCATGGTATTTTTCCACCTTTGACAACCCTGGAATTATCGTCTCGGCTCCCACGCTAGGGCGCGATATGCCGATATGAGAGTATTCGAGGGCACGCATGTACTTGCTTCCTCCAAGCGATATGTCATTAATTGAGTCGGAATTCAAGTCCAGCTTCTCCATTTCAATGCTCACAAGCATTAGCTTTTGCTGTGGCGCACCTGACGATAGCTCAGAAAAAAGTACATCTACACATACAGGTTGATGCGCTTGACCTCGCGCATGACTGTCCGATAACATACGCAATAAGCACACTGGGTCTATAGTAGGATGTGCTAGCATTTCTTCCAGAAAGGTCGGATGTCAATGCTCAGAGCAACACCTGATGGATCACGCGCCGAGCGCCGGCGGTTACCGAGACTGAACGAACCAGAGATACAGTTATCCAGGAAAACGTGCTTCGACGCAGTAGTTTGCATGTTTCTGCACACCTATTCATGTAAGTATCGCTGAAGAATAAGTCGAATGAACACAAAAAACCCTCCGATCTGGAAGATGTAGACTATTTTGAACCCGATTAGACAGAAAATGTCATTTCTGCAGCGGATAAAAGGGAGTGGACGATCCGCTGAGCGACACCTCCACACGACCATCCTGTCATTGGTATGCGTAGCTATATCTTCATACCCTACCACTGACCACTTCATCTTCAACAGCGTCCCTCAACACCAGCTTGAGAAGCTTACATACAGTCAGTTTGGAATTCACTTTTCAAGCTGCTATAGGTATGTCCATATTCGCCATCCGATCCAGTGAGCAGCACAGACTGAGATTTATCCCTGATCATCATTGCGGCCGCTTCAGCATTTGAACAGAGGGAATCAAGACGGGATCACCGAACTATCAATCTAGTGGCACTCCTAAACCCCGTCCACAAGGGGGCGGCAAAGGGGGGCCACGTATTACGAGCCGGAAGAAAGTCTGACTGACATTTCAAAGTTTTCATTTTTTTTTTGAAGAATTATCAAAAAGGACCTAAATCTGTGTACCATTAGTATAGATGATCCCAACCTTGTATGACTAGCTTTCAGTATGACGATTTCAACTTTGTATGACTAGCGATTTTTTTATGTACTTGATATACTGTTCTACAGTTCTACATATGCACTCAGGGTTCAAGACTATCCGGGGGAAATCCCTCAAAATTCAGTGGAATACTGACTGCTATAAAGAATTGTGACTTCGTCGCTCCTGACTCAGTCTCTGCATCAGTGACTACCATTGGTTTCGTAGTTTTTCGAAATGTGAAATGCAACGTGTACTTGAGGAATTGACTTTGTCCATTGGATGATGCAAACTTTTTGAAAAAAAAAGAGGCTCTTACTAGCAAGACAAATTAGTGGTAGTAAAATGTGCACAGCAGTAGGTTGGAGGTAAAGTAAGGGATCTTGATAAGAGGCACTGGGTATGCATCTTGACTCCTCCGCTTCTGTAACCAGATCCAGAGATTTGAATGCAGAGATCGAGGCTACTACTTAAGGGTGGATATTTGTGGTGTAGTTTTTCTTTTATTTTTGTTTTTGACAAAAAAATCTACATCTGATCTGATTGATTCATATTTTCACGAAGAGACGGAGATATGGCTTGGACGTGGCACCGGCTAGATTTGTGGCGTGGGATAGAACGTTGGAACGAGATACCGTGTATTGTGGTTGAAGATGATACATTGCCAATACCTATTCTGTAATGGTCCAGCTGCCTTGCCCGTTCATACCTTCCGTCTGTTGCAGCCTAGAGAAACGCGTTAGCCGAGATTCATCCTCAACTCGTCGTTGCATATTCGTTTGTTTATATCGGATACTATGATTTCCGAAATGACTCCAAACTCGGAGCTGGAACAAAGATCCGTTCAACCGAATGTCATCCCAGGGAGATGTCAACCTGGAACGATACGCAGCATTGAATACTGCTAGATGGTTCTAGATATAGAATCAATTTAGAATTTTCCAGCACAGCACAATGTGGTCGAAAGACACGTTCTGGAACACTTTGCACACCTATTCGCATAAACACCATAGTACACCCAGTACATTGGAGAAAACATGGACAAGCTCTATCCTCGTGACTCCGGGCCCGAAAGCAATAGGAGCCTCTGTTAGAAAGAACATTCCACAAAGACCCACCAGTAAAATCGTCTCACCCATCCATGCGATATCCGTTACCTGTATAGACTTCTTCTGTCATCAGCACTAGCATTGATCTCATTTTTTTCGGCATCCACGACATCTGCTTTAATGTCATCACTATAGACTGGGATTTGAATTTTTAAAACTCACAGTAGGCCCACATCCCCCCACCTGATATGAGTAGCGCTGAGAAAGGAAGTTCCTATAGCACTGACAGCGATGGGTGACGGCCTAATGTAAGCTATACCAAAACATCACACATCTACTTACCCGCTTTTCGAAAATTAATCGGATACCAATGGCAGTGGTGTATTGTTCATGTTCATGGGCCGCTCTCTTATCTGGGGGCTAGGACCCCGAACAGAGCATGGAATCTGCGTATATGAGACTAGTAAATTTCTGACGAGCTCGTCACATTTTTTGTGCCGCAGAGCTAGTACTTGCACTTGAAGGTTCAAAGCTACTGGCAGAAATCCTAAGTTGAGATGCGATGGATTGGTTATTGGGTTGTGAATCGGTCGTCGCTGAAGCGGAGTGGAGGCAACAGTGACTAACTATCGTTGGTTTTCAGTCTTCGAAGAACGGAAATGCAACGTGAAAACTGAGAAGTTGGTATACTATTACGCTCGAAGCTTGAAGGTCCCGCAGTTGTCAGCAGATGAGTCGGTCTTGGATGAGCCTGTGTTATCTCGAGGAGACGGAACTTCGAGGGCGTCATCGCCCTCGAAGGGACGCCGGGGACGTGAGTGCCCCGAGTGGGGTCTGTGGTGGGTTCTGCAGACGCTGACTCTTGGGCCAGGGTAGTCTTTGAATTTCCAGAGGTACTAGTCGAGAACGTATGCGCATTTTGATGCATACGCAAGGTGACATCCAGCCTGAGAATCCAGATATCTTAGTTTGTTCATCAATAAGATAACGGTCCAAGCATTTTCGTCTATGAAATTGAAAGGAGTCCGAAGCGCGATATGAGAAGATCATAAGTGAGCGTCAATCGCAATTTGAGGATGTTCGTGGCGGTTTGGCGGCGGTGGCGATGCATCTCAACCCTGGGCGCCACAAAAATAACTTGGTTCACTGCCGAAGCGCGATATTTCGTTCACTGCCGCAACTCCGCCGCGCTCGCACAAAAAATAACTTGGCTCATCGACTGGAATTAGACCAATTCACTCAGATTGTAATTGCTGGTCTATAAGGGTTAAGGCGCTGTAGTGTAGCGGTTATCACTCGAGATTCTGATGAAGAACCAACCTTTACCAGAAATCTTCTCGAAACCCAGGTTCGATTCCTGGCAGTGCCTCTCTACCTTTCGGCTTCCGAATTAATTTTGTTATGCACACGATGCACCGTTGACGGCTCTCTTCGCGAGTTTCTCTCTACGCTCGGTCAGTTATAATGATTTCGCTCCAGAAAGGGTTATATAATTATTATCAATGTAGGCCTAGGGTACACGATACTGCAGTGTTAAGGATATCTATCTATCGAATTGACGATTTCCGGCAGATATATTCCGAGTTCTGGCACATGTGGCGCCTGGTTTTATTGAGATCACTGCGATCGCCCGGATGATGTCACCGACACGCGCGCACTCGAAAAAGCCAAGTTCAAGACATTCGGACCCTTAGACCATGACTTTCATCCTCACCAAAGCCGGAAAGAAGCTTTTCGAGAAGCATCTCGAGCAATATGCACCACAAGACCCATTGTACGAAATGTACACTGATTCCAAAGGCAAGCAACAGCGGAGAAAGGTACGAATACGAAATTCCCTATTGATGTGCATTCGCTAACGTATAAAACAGCGGGCGCTACCTCCTGGACTTTCACCGCGAGACGCCAAGATACTGCAGTCGGTGAAGCGGCGCGCACACTATCTCGACAAGGGGTTTCACCTCTGCGGGTTTCGGTTCGGGTGGACGTTCCTCATCGGACTGATTCCCGTTGTGGGAGACGTCGTCAATGCATTGCTGAACTATTACCTTGTGATCCGCAAGGCGAAGCAGGCGGATCTGCCCGGATGGCTCTCACAGCGTATGATGATGAACAATCTGGCGAGCGCGGTAGTAGGATCTGTGCCGGTTGTGGGAGACGTGGTGGTGGCAGTGTTCAAGACGAACAGCCGGAATGCGGCGCTGTTGGAGGAGATGCTGCGGCTGAGAGGAGAGGAGTATATGAAGCTGCAGGAAGGGGACGCGGGTGGGCTAAGCAGGAGAGATGTTGAGCAGGTCAAGCCTGGGTCAGGGTTGCAGACCTAGGATGATGTCATCATAATAGTTTCGTTCCTCCATACATAAGGACGCAGGAATGGATGGAACCGCATGTCGCTGATCCTCGCAGCCAACGCCGGCTCCTCGTCTCTCAAGATTTCTCTCTTCCGCCTTGCTCACCCCGTTGACCTCGTCCTGACCTGCAGCATCTCCAACATCACCGCCCCGCCTGCCCAGTTCAGCTTCAACGGCGCCACCGAAAGCGTGCCAGCCGAAACAATCGCCGACCATGCGTCTGCCTTTTCCCACTTTCTCACCCGCATCGATGACCCCTTGCAAATCGCGTGCATCTGCCACCGCGTCGTCCATGGCGGCGACTACGCCACACCTGTCGTCATCGACCACGCAGCATACGACCACATCGCCGCTCTTTCTGACCTTGCCCCTCTCCACAACGGCGCAGCCCTCGCCGTGATCAAGGCCTGCCTCGAAAAGATGCCCAAAGCCAAAAGCATAGCATACTTTGACTCGGCCTTTCATTCCACCATCCCCCGCCACATCGCGTCCTACGCCATCGACCAGTGCATCGCCACCAAGCGCGGGCTCAGGAAATACGGCTTCCACGGCCTCAGCTGTACATCCCTTCTTACCTCTTCCCTCTCCTTCACTAATCACACGCCCCACAGACTCATTCATCCTCCGCTCCGTCGCGCACTTTCTCGAGCGACCCATCTCCTCACTCAACCTCATCGTCCTCCATCTCGGCTCCGGCGCTTCCGCCTGTGCAATCAAAGCCGGCCGGTCTCTCGACACCTCCATGGGCCTCACGCCCCTCAGCGGCCTCCCAGGTGCCACCCGCTCCGGCGCCGTCGACCCCTCCCTCATTTTCCACTATACCAACAAGGCTGGCCGCATCACCCACGACCCCGGCATGGCCGTCAACCTCCACGTCACGACGGCAGAGGACATCCTCAATCGCAAGAGTGGGTGGAAGGTCCTCACTGGTACAACCGACTTTGGGGAGATTGTAAAGAGGGCAAAGATCGATGCGAGGACGTACGCGTTCAAGGTGAATGGTGGAGATAAAGATGGGCATGAGGAGGAGATGGACGAGTGGACCCTTGCGTTTAATTTGTTTGTCGATAGGATATTGGATTTTGTGGGTGCGTATCATTTGAAGCTCGGCGCTGCGGTCGATGCGCTCGTGTTTTCGGGTGGGATTGGGGAGAGGAGTAAAGAGCTGAGACAAGTCGTTGCCGCGAGGGCCAGGTGTCTTGGCTATGCCAAAGTCGATCCGGCAAAGAATGCAGAGTTGGGTGAGGACGTGGTTGTTGACATTGGGCAAAAGGGTGAAGGTAAGGGCGAGAGGGAGAAGAGGGTGTTGGTTTGTAGGACAGATGAGCAGGTGTGTTTGTGTATTTTGTGCGCTTCGTGTGGACTAACAATTGGTTATCAGCTTGAAATGGCACGATCTTGTGCTCTTGATGAGAAATTTTGGAAGTAAATACATCACGAAAGAACATGTATCATAATCACAACACTGTTCTATTTCTGCTGTTCGTTCAAGGGCCCTGACATAGCTGCTGTTTCTATACGCTCCGGAAAAAACATATACAGTCTCTCTGACTCATGGGGGCACCGCGGATTGAACGCGGGACCTTCAGAATGGCTCAATTTTCTTCAGTCTGCTGCTCTCCCAACTGAGCTATGCCCCCACATCGCGTTTTCCGTCCCGTGCGCCTTGCACGCAAGAAACATATTCCTGTATGGTATCTCACGTATTCAGGGTAATTACGATAGGATCAAAGAAGGATAGTCGCTTGGGAACCAGGTTTCTCATACAAGTAAGCTATGTTGATCTCGGAAGCTGTCCAAAACAAAATCAAAAGTACTTTACAAGTTAAGGACGCGGCATGGGGGCACCGCGGATTGAACGCGGGACCTTCAGAATGGCTCAATTTTCTTCAGTCTGCTGCTCTCCCAACTGAGCTATGCCCCCGATATTAGGAGAAAATGTTGCGAGATAAATATCTGCGAGTGCCTTTTTCACAAGGAGAAAAAGCACAAGAGAAATATTGCGTGGGAGGCGTCAACTCCAATTGGGACTGCGAGCAGTGAAATTGGAGACAAATGCGACTCGAAATGGAGCTCTGATCACGAGCGGACTGTCGTCCAGGTCTTGTTGGTCGTTTCCCATAATCCATATATCGTTTGAAGAGGCAGGGCTGTAAGCTTGTTCAGGATACATCATGATTGTCATGCAAGGGTGCAATCTGTGCAAAACGCGAGTCTATCGCAAGTCCCCATGCATGCTGTCAGAAATGCCATGAAAGGATCTCACTAGTCAATAAACCCTGCCGGACTTGAACGCCCACTCGATCGTAACGACAATCACGAGTCAACATTGATCATGTTGATATCCAAGCGTACATCATTCATATATACTCTACGGCCACTGAAACAAGAGGGGGAACGTAAGTTAACGAAGCAACCAGAAAGAGGCATACGTATAATCCCATCCTTCTAAACAACCACCCAAATAGCCTCTAAGAACGCCGATTCGGAGTCGGAGGCGGGGGCGGTAGTTTCACATCCTCGAACTCCCACTCGCTCGACGTCAGTGGCGGCAGTTCTAGCCCCGACTTGCCCGAAGCCAGCTTCTTATTACCGCGGGCAGGTGTTACGAGTGTTGGGGTCAAAGTCTGGAGCCCGGCGTGAGGCTGAAGTGTATTAGATCCTTCAGCGTCTGATCCAGGACCAGAACTTGTGTTGAGCGAGGGGGAGCCCATCTCGGGCTGGTTTGCATTCGTGGAACTTGAAGATTGAGAGGCCGAGGCTATCGTCACAATACCACCGGACTGGGGTGCCGTGGAGGTAGAGGGAGGTATGAGAGCCGAGTTTGGGGAAGAATTCTTCCTTTGATCAGGCTCAACCGACATCTTTTGGAACGACCGCGTTAAAGAGCTACGAAATGACTGCTTTCAGAGACGGGTTGCTCGGCGTGGGTTCAGGGAATCTCTTACTGAATCTGTTGATTTCGGGTACGGCTCCAAGCTTTACATGTCTCCTTGAATTGTAAAAAGATGGTCGCCAAATCATTGTAAAACTGCCCATCGGAGAAACACCATGTGGTTAGCCAGGGAACAACACAACAACATGGAGATGGTTGGCGCCAGAGTGTGTACGAGATGAGTCATTGTCAACGTACCTTGATTCCCTCATCGAGATTCCCCATGATTTCCCGATATTTGTGATACGCAAGGTCCAGGTGCTGCAACGCATATTCCCGCTCCTTAACCGCAGGATCATCCTTCCGCGATCGTAGGAATAGTTCATTGAGTCGCTGTACACACACCAAAAGCGGGAAAAAGTTAGATGGACGGAAGGAAAACAGATAAATCAGTATCATACAGCCCCCAGCCATATTGCGCGTGGGTAAGGATAAAAAAATAGGCCGCACCTGAATTTCAGCGATTATGGCCACCTGGCGTTGCCCGATCTCGCTCATCTCCACAAGGAACTTATCATACTTCGCCAGTTCCTCGTCTGACATATCCTCGAACATTGCGGGCGTCACCTCCGTAAGCCGCGCAAATCCCACGGCGACCCTTGTCACACGCTCACGGACGTCGTCTGCAGTTGCGAGGGTTCGTACCCGTCGAACGAGCTGCTCACGAGTCCGGTGCAGATCGTCGAGAGCCTCAATTTGTACCCGTAACGCCCGTGCGTGGTTTTGCGTCTCCCGACCCTGCACAGTTGTTACGGCAGAGGATGAAATTGTTGAGGAAGGTATAGACGCTTCGAGATCCTCCTGTAATCCAGTTTTGATCGAAGAGATGTCAGAGCGAATAGAAGTCGAGGTGGCATATCATGATCATTACATACCTCGCTCCATGTGAGCTCGACGATGTTTTGTTCCCATTCGTCCCACTTCTGCCGTACAGTTTCATCACTTGCAGCCGCTTGTGCCAAAATCGTGCGATATCGTTTCTCCTTGGCTATCAATTCGACATTTGCTTCGTGGGACGGCAGCCTGTCTAAATGGCTGTACTTGCGCGCAGCTTCGTCCTCCGATGCCTCATTGTCCAGAATA